AAATTGTTTAAAGGTTTATTGGACTTTATTAGGTTACACTACTCAGGAGCATCCGGAATCAGCACAGGCCCCAGGACAAACATCCTACCTGGTCTCCCTTTCTCTCTCTCTCTCTTGTTTGTTTGTTTGTAGTTAAGCACAAAGCTACACAATGGGCTATCTGTGCTCTGCCCACCACGGGTATCGAAACCCGGATTCTAGCGTTGTAAGTCCTCAGACATACCGCTGTGCCACTAGGGGGTTTCTCTCTCTCTTTTTAACATTTTAAAGAACGTATTAAATTAAGTTCCTAAATTAGGACAGCAATGCGCTCACAAACAAGGCAAAATCATGGCAGCAGCCGTTTTTAGCTCACAGTTTAAGTGTAAAAACTTTAATAAAGTAACAACAAATGTCTGTTAAATATATAAAGTAACAAATATATATTAATTATTACTTAAATTATTATTTCAATTATTCTTAAAGAAAAGCAAAAACTATGCTTTTTATGATCAAATGAAGATACAGCCTAAATGTGCTCTGCGGGCTTTACGGTATAACCAGGTTTCATTCGCCCGGGCCCTTGGGCAGTTGCCTCCTTTGCACCCTCCTGTCGGCTAGGGCCTTGCACTATATGAGGCTGTAGGCTACTGGTTGACGAAATTGTTATTCTCAAAGAATCAGCAGACATAACAACAATATGCTGGCTTTATACAAAAGTTATATTTCATTGTCCATTTAGAGAATCACAAAAGAACGAAGAAGAACAGGGAAAATTTTTAAACAAACAACCAAGTCACTCAATTACTCAACGTAAAAGAAGGAAAACTGCATTACACAAGAACCCGGAGAGATAGATCTCTAAAATGATTTAAAATGTATGTCTGGTGTTATAGTCTGAAATGGAAATAGGATATTATGTAAATATAGTTGTAGTTTATTGATATATTTGGTGATACTCAACTTTGTACTGGAAAATTGTTTTGCTTTTTTTTTGCGAGAGTTCAATGATTGTATTCCATTTGTGGTACCAGTATATTAAATCTGGAAGTCAGTTTCTGGTGCCAGTATATTAAATCTAAGAGCCCGATTTTGTGTCAGTATACGAAATTTGGGATCCCGATAGTAGGTACTTGTATATTAAATCCAGAGTTTGATTTCTGGTGTTTGGAGAACCGAGGTTATTATAACTAAGTTATGCAACATATGGATGCACAGTGGAATGGCATCCGAACAAGTCAATAAGAAATTTAAAATGAAAATTACAGCAACTGTTTTAAAAATCAGCATATAGAAATTGGTCCTCCAGATTGATTATACTGGTACCAGAAATTGGTCCTCCAGATTTATTATACTGGTACCAGAAATTGGTCCTCTAGATTTAATATAAAGGAACCAGAAAACGGTCCCCCAGATTTAATACACTAGTACCAGAAATCAGACCCCTAGTTTTAATGTACTGGTACCAGTAGTTAGGATGGCCATCTGGAGCCGGAAGTACGTCCGAGGGCATGATCCAGTTTCTACAAGGTAGCATGAATCAATTATAGTATGTTATGACGTGACACCAGATAATTATAGAGATTAAAAGCAGGACATGATGTTGTCAATAACGGATGGTAATTATAGGCATGGTTTTAAAGAACAACAGTTTTGTAAGTATGACCCAAATGAAAATGACACGTGTTTCATAATGTATACCTTTAGGAAGTACTATGAAAACCCTTGAAAATCTCCATACAATCAAATTGTCTACAAACAGTCCAAGAGAAAGAGTTAACTTCGAACACCTTCTACATTATGGAAAAAAAAACAAAGGTCAGATTAATTTTTGTTAAAAAATTATTCTGTTCCCTTCACTGTTATTTCTGTTGTTTTATACATATTCCAGTTTTTATTGTTAGCAAACAACTATATTAATTGTCACTAATACATGTTTCAATTTCATTATTCTTTTCCTTTAGAGGTGTCTAGTAAATTTCCCCACTGACACACAGTGCAACAACAAGATTCATCATATATTTGTCTGGTCC